TTTTCAATAAAAAGGAGTGCCAAGTTGGATGAATAGACTGTAGTATCTAGTAACAGAACTTTATTTTTTTATTTTTTTAAACAGATTGTCCGTTTACTATGATTAATTGCTAATATGTTAAAAAAATAATAGAAAGATAATAGTGAAGGACATTCTTTTGGGCATGCTAGGGCCGATTTCGTCGATGTCCTTTGTACATTATTCAACTAACTTCATCTACTTGTATATAAACAGCTAACTTCACAGATACTACTTACCGACGGCAGCGCGGCTGGTGGCTGAAAAATGAACTATGAATTCTACAAATTTTCAGGCGTAGTAGAATCTTTAGCACGTAGCGATCGTTCTCCCATCTCTCTAACCCCCATGGAACATATATGTATTTGACGTAATTTAGAGTAAAGATAGCTAAGATAAATAAGTCAATATAAAAATCTATAAAAAAGAATGAGCTGGGTGGCGCAGGTGGTTATCGGTTGGGGACGTTGAAATAAGCAACTTTCGCAGTGTTCGGTCATGGGATAGGTGACCGAAAAATTTACTATCTTGAGCTCCGTCGTGCTTCGGAAAGCCGTTCAAAAATATACGGCTTGATGACGTGCAGGGCTGAGGAGTGCCAGGCGATGCTTACCGTACTAAGCATGCTATGACTCATCACCATGAGAATTTCTAGCCTTACAGACAGACCGTTACTCGGAGGGTTCAGTAGCTCTTGGTCTATAACGGCATCCAGTCGTATCGGATGCGCGCATCCAAACCTGACATCCTGCCCGCATTCAAAACCTACGCTCTGAGTGTTTGTTATTTAATAATTTTATCAGCATTCATTTTTTTCAGATAACATACCGAAAAGTAAATTAATGGTTTTCGATTACATTTTTAAGTCCTGATTCAAGGAATCGAAAAGACACACTCACACAAAACACGCATCTGCATTAATTCATATTGCATCGTATCCTGTGATACATATCGACATTCAGTAGACATCGATGCGATGCCGGCATCGATTCGAGCATCCGATGCGATTTATCTGATACCGATGCGCATCGATTTCAAAAATATCTAAAAACGCCCATCTCTAGTCTATGGGTTATGGTTGCCGCTTACCATCAGGCGGGCCAGAAGCTTGTTTGCCACCAGGGCGCAGTGAGTAGTTTATATTCTCTACAAACGTGGAAGTTAAGCTACTTTCGCCATGGCCTGTCATAGAATAAGAGAACAATAAGTTGAGGTAGGTAGGTCATTTATAAATATAATAAATATCACAACCAAAATAACACTATCAAAAGCATAATAAGAATTTAGCACGTCAAAAACTCAAATGACTTTCGTTAACCAGTAAGGGAATCAATGAATGAAATGGTTAAAAAGGGTTTAAAATAAAATTAATATCATTGTATCACCTGCCGGAAAACTTCATTAACGAATATCTCGTAAGGTAGGTACCTTCTTACGTTTGAGCAACCATTGCTTTACTTCAGAAAAAAATATGAAATACAACTTTTACCAGGTTATGTTCCCAGTCTCATTATGAGCATACAATGAAACTCACTCGCAGAAAACTCACGTAGTTGCGGTTTTTACGTTCCACACGCGATGTCATACTCGGGTTTTAATTACTACAAAGCACCATCCATCAAATTAATTATGCTGCATAAAAAAATGTATAGTACCTATATTAAATTCCATTTTTATCTTGCACTTAATTTCAACGTGAAAACGTCGAGAGAAAAATGTTTATGAAATAAACATTTTCCGCGCCTTGGTTTTGTGAAAATGCATTTATAAGCGCCATGTGTTTTTGAATTACATTCTGAAGAGTGGAAGAACGTGTAATCTTGATATTCTGGGTGTTAGAACAGTTAAAAATATCACTTACTATTATTGAGGCTTCAACAATATTTGTTACATATAAATTTGAGCTTCGGTAAGTACGTCATCCTCACTATAACAATAAATTGCAACATATGACGCAGTATAACTTGAGAATAGCTTAAGTTATTTGACTAAAATCCGATGTAATGGTGAATAAAAAAAAGATTATTGGATGCCCTTTCCGAACAATATTTTCAATCTAAGAGATGGTTATCCCAATACAAATATGATAAATAATTTATCCAAGAAATTCTAAAATCAACCCCTTATTAGGGAAATATCACGATTCTCTAATCAATATTTTTTCATGGGGTGGGCGAAGTGTTATATTTTAACTGAATACTGAAATTCACAAAATTCGGTTCAGTTCAGCCAGATGAGAATGATTATTTTGGCTCATTTTCTGCCACTGCAGCTTCTCTCCGCTTTAAGAAGAGCTAGTTAGTTAAGAAATTGAACTCAAACTCATTTATTCAGTCTAGGCTGTTACAAGCTCTTGTGAAAGTCAAACGCTACGCCATCGGTTGAACGCCGTCGGTGTATGAACTCCACATACACTCAATATCAGGTACCAAAAGGTGAATTTGGTGTGCCTGGTAATAACAAATCATTCCCGTAGACATAACTAAACCATAACCTATTCGTGAACATTGCTAGTATAATACTCCCAAACACATCTATCGGCCCATCCACTGAGCAAGTTGGGCCCACCTAGCATTTAAAGTTTTGACCTATATGGTTTTGACAGTCCCTAGCCATAAATAAATGTTACATTAAGCAAAAAAAAAATTAACGCAGTTTTGAAGCTGAATGAATTACTTACCATATTTTTCGTATGTTTTTAAAATATATTATTATTGCTCGAATAGACCTAAATTAATTATATTTTTAGCACAGACTGTTGAAACTTACAACACTAAGTGGGCCAATAGATTTGTCACGAAAATGTATCTTCTGTAAGCATCATTAGCTTGGTACGTAATAAGAAGTTGTTGTTCGGTAGGTAATGCTAAGGTGGTCTTAAAATAACCTCAATTCTAATCTCATCTAACGTGCTCGATAGCTGTTTTGTCAATACAGAAATTCAGAACCCGTTTTAACAAGGAGTTTAACTTGAAAAGATAATGAAGGATGATTTCGATAAGACGATCCCCAAAGAGGAAAATGGTAATTCATCCCCACGATGAGAGTATTATGTTACAACTTACATTTTAATTGCTAATAGGTAGGTTCTCCTATTATAGTCTTATATTATTTATTGTTTTTTACAAAGTTATATGGGTATTACACACAAAATAAATGTATGTAATATGTGCTGAGTGAAGCAAAAGTGGTCAATTTGTGCTGATATAGAACAAGATGAGCACACGGACTATGAAGGATTTAGCGACAAGCATATAGCTAGGAGTTCAGTGGTACAAGTGGTTAGCTTAGCATTTTCCCTGTTCAATCTGCGATCGCGGAAGTTAATCAACTTTCTCAATTTTCGGTCATCGGATTGGTGAACAATACTTTATTTATTATCTCGAGCTCCTCCGTGGTTCGGAATGCATGTGAAGTCATTGGTCGCGGGAGCATCTGCAGGCGTTAGCACCTACTAACTACCATACCGTCTTCCATACTTTCCATTCTATACGTGGGATGATTATATTTTTTCGGCCTGCTTCCTTGTGATGTGCCTCTGTGAATATGCAAAATTCCTAGTAATTTATTCACTGCAAATTTACTGGAATATAGGAAACTAGCAAACCAGTGAACCAAATGTTCACCAAAACCTGATTTAAAAAAAAATGTATTTAATTAATTGAGAACTTCGGAGATTTTGTGTGGTTTCGTTTGAAATTCGTGATTTCTCGAAAATCGGAAGTGCTACGTTACTCAAATCCGGTTTGTAGTCTTATCAGACTATTCTTAACTTATAACTTAAATATTCTCTTTATCTATCTCTTACGGTTTGGCCGCTGAAACAGCACCACAGACAGACAGACGGACGGACTTGTCTAATAGATAAGAGATAAAACCATATTATTGAAAACTTCGGGATTGTTCGCAGTAAACTTCTTTATATTCCCGTCCACAGTTTAATCTACTTCTCCACTACCTTCCTACGTTTGTTTTATAAAGAGAGGATAGGCCATAGTGGTTTTTGTATAATTATTAATTATACTCGTATATAATAGTTTGGGAAATTAACCTTTACTTTACCGTGTTTATGTAAATGAGCAAGGTTCTTGGGCTCCTCCACTTTCACTTAAAGATAATAGAACTTAACAAATCGGCCAAGTGCGAGTCGTGCCACACACCGAGTAGGGTTCCGTAGCTGCCTGTCTTTACCACAATATATTTGAGCAGGAGTCTTTACTTTCTGTATAGGAAATTAAAAAAAATATAGTTCTTTTTTATTTGTTTCTCAATTCAAGGTTTTACGCTACAATAACTTCATCTATATCACTATTAATGTCATTATTCTATTATGATAGGACATTTGAAACTCCATGGCTTATTATTGCGCTGGACTGCTGAAAGCCACCTTGCAGTGATATTTATCTAGAACTTGACCCTAGAAGGACGCTGGAAGCTTTAGCGCTTTGCGGAATAACCAAAGCTCAATCACGAATTGACATTAAAGAATATTGAAAGCTAGAACGCTTTGCGATCCTGTTCGAGTTTAGAAAGAAATAGTAAAGTTAAGGTTGAAAGCTTTATTGCTTTAATTTGTATTTTATTGGTCCTATTGAGTGTCCAGGAACGCTTGAATTTGGTAGTATCACCTAATGTGGACATGGTACTAAGAAACAACGCGAGAGCGCGTTGACGAGCAGAATGGCCGTGTCAATTAATTTGGTGTTATTACACATCCGTGGGATATCGATAGTTTAAGTAGTCAAAGCTAAAGTAAATTATTCGGATGGCAACACTTTTGTCTGTGACGTTAATGAATGACGTCAGTGACGTTGTCAATGTCAGTGTCAACTTGATTTTTCCATTTACACCCCGTTCGAAGTTTCGCTTCAAAATCAGTCAGTTAGACTGGATTACTACAACAAATGTCTCCAACACTCTGAAACTGCTTACTTGTGCAAATCTACTTTGATAAAATTATTAATTTTAATTAAAACATCGAATAAAGATAAAGTGCTTTATTTATTACAGAATTTATACAGAACCCGCCGAATATATAAAAACATCAACAATTTCGAGATGCAATAAGAAATTAACCACATTGATATCTATTATGTAACTTATTACCACAATACATTGACCATTTCATAAAGAGAGTACGATCTAGATACATACATAATTAGATAGGTACTGAAGTAATTCAGTACCAATTTAATGCATGTTGAGTAATCTTTGGTATAAAACAGTATTAATGATCATTTACAAGCAAAAAAAGCAGCAGACAGCTCATGTGCGCTTCACTAACAACTTGAGTATGAAGCTGGCCCTATGAATTAGTGTAACGTTACAGTCAAAACTCTAAACCAGTGAAAATAAATCTGTGCAGTTTTGGTCGACCCAACCCATCACTTACTTTTCTTTCGCTCTATTAAATTCACCGCGAGTCTTAAATTCTAACCTAATCTTACCTAACCTCTATAACCACCAATAGGAACGATGACGAACTTTTTTTTTCTTCCTCTATCAGTTTAGATTATCAAAAACCAACATATATATATTGACATTTGAAATGTCACATGACGTCACATCATGGCAATTTTATTTACTTAAAAGTGTTGTAACAAGCCTTCTTTCCCAAACTTTGACGCGCTTCATCTTTATTAGGTTTTGGTGAATTGACAAACGAAAATAAGTGTCCATTATTTTTCGATATACTAACTGATGTACAAAATATAATTTCGTTTTATTTTATCCCGTCATCATGCCTATTATTTATATATATTAACCCATCGTAATTTTGACTGTAACATTATTTTATTGTGGTAATAAAGAATAACCTACTGCTGTTACTATCAAGCATTAACATGTTACTTAATTGACGACGATAGTGACAAACAAAGGCAGTGGTTGATGTGCGACAAAAACATCTACTTATCGGTCGCTGGACGACAAATGTGTGCGGACTTTGTTATGCCGGCACTTAATTTGGTTATTCGAATCTGCTATTTGTAAACTTGACAAAAGTCTGTTCTTATCATGCTTTATATGGAATGAGAAGGACAGACTAATGCTAAGTTTACAAATAGCAAACACGAATAGCCAATTGAAGTGCCGACATGAAATGAATTAGCCATACTTAAATTAATACAATTTCTAGATTTTTTAGAAGCAAATAATGATTTAATTGAAGAGCTAAAAGAAAGTTTTAACAATACTTTCAGCTCCTTATTGAAATAGAAGCTTTTAGATTAATAAATTTTCTCGTTGTTTACAATAACTATTTTTCGGGCTGTTTAAAATATGTCTATTTCTGCAGGCAAATGTCGCACACACATTTCCGGTTCAGAAAAGACCTTTTATATCGAGTATTTATATCAATATCAGTCCTTACTTAATTTCTAAATGTTCTATAAAGGAAGAGAAGAGTTCACTGGACTATGATTCATAATGAGTCATGTTCTAAATGTAACTAACAAATAAATAGGTAACTTAAAACCTTATTAATAGGCTAATGATGTGGCCAGTAATATAGCTTACAGGCGATTGTGAGACGACAACGCTGAATATGTCCAATACAAGTTTAAAAATAAATGCAACAATCATTGTTTTGAAGTTGGAAATTTCTATCAAAATATCTTTCGTCGCTCTTCTTACCGCCTGTCACTATGCTCATAGCCACTTCCTCGTGGATTGGTGGTGTCGATTTGATTATATTATTACGACAACTGTGATCCATCAATGATCCGACTTTTTTAATTAAACTTGGGAGATCACTCATCAGAGTTGTTCAACATCTCTTTGTGGATAGGAATATACATTCACATTATAACTGTTCGATTAAAATTATGTTTAATATCGAGTCTTCTTGAAATCGTAACTCGGTTATAAATCAGATTCTTGTATTTATTAAAATAATCTCCTTATTAATACCGTAAACAACATGAAGTTGTTGCTTTAAAGAGAACACCAAAAAGAATATTAGCAATCACTTTTGAGTAGAATTCCGAATGATTACGTTCACACCATTTCAATCGAAATACGTCAATGTTATTATTTGTGTACCTAAGGAAAATAAATTATTTGATTGAATGTCTTCAATCCTATTTTAGGCCCTTTAATGATAATTATCAACGCATGCTTTTTTTGTTATGAGTTCCTAATAATAGACATTATACAAATTAAATTAATCGAAAAAGTTATTAAATGTTTTTCTGTGAATTTTCGAGATTCTGTGATGAATGAACTGGTTAAATCAAATGAAGCGTGTTTGTAGCAGAAATCATATGTTTTTTCTTACATAATACCACTGCAAAGTCATTTCAATTGTCATAGAATGTGAATAATTCTGCAATTAATGAAGAAAGTTCTCTCGTAGTATGAAAATACTAAAAAAACTTATAACGGTAACATTAACCTTGATCTAATTTCAATGTTTACCAAATTTCATATTTATTTCTTACAAGATAAAGTTGATAATCGATTGAATATATTTAACAGTTAAAGATATCTTGTTGGTGTTATAGACTGTTCAATATGTATGGTGAATGTGATCTCCCTTTGGTATTCTTCTATTCTTCTTACACCGCGTTGCCTGCACTGTGCACGTTGCCGTTCACACTCAGAGGTATGGTGTTGAATTCATCATCAATGTCATCGTTTTTCCTGTGAAAGAAGAAAAGATAATTGTTGAAAACAATATTACTTGTGTCAAGTTAGCTTGAACGTTGTTAGGAGGTCCTTCAGTAAGCTGTTGGAAAACCCAGAGATTTTAGAGGACATTTTAACGTGAAACGTAACGTTAACTTTTGATGAGTATAAATCAAAAGAAATGCCAGTGTCCACAATTAAAACAAAATATTTTAGTAAAATTTAAATAATCCATCAAAAACATGTTAATAAACTTCCAAATACCCAAGGGTATATAACACAAACATAAAAGACATAGAGAATATACGTCCAAATATCTTCCGAAATACATCGTAACAATGTTTGTGTAGTCGGAAATGGCACCTCGGGAACCAATATTCGGAGCGACAAATGACCCGTTTAATTTACAGTACGACTCGTGATACACCCTAATATATATCCATCAGGGCGGCCTTGACGAAATTTGCGTTAATTTATTCCTTAAGAACTCATTAAGCGCTTAGGTATATTAAATACGACCAAACATTTTATTGGGTCAGGTGAGAACGCGGCAATAATAAAAACACGCGAGTTATTTTTACTAACACTAATTAAATAGAAGCTGAAACTCGGTTTCAGGTAAAATTCACTTCGCGCACAACATAAGGGTAATCTCGAAATATCCGAAAAACGATTTCCATTTTCTTATTACCCCTATCCCCTTGAGAGTTCTAAGGCGTCAGCGGTGGCGTCGCAGTGGATGCTCGTATAAAAATTTCATCAACTAATTATATTTCGTATTTGTGCAATAAATACGGATTTAATTTGTTTGATGAAAGCCGGGAGCCCTCTGAAAGGGTCAGGGGTGACTGAGCTGCATTATCGCGGATAGACCGAGTCGAGGCTCGAGGTCGTGTTCCTTCAAATCGCTAGACTCAGTCCGAGTAATAAATAATTCACACTAAGCATAGCATTTTAGGATTCTAGGAAACAGCTTTCACAACATAGAAAACGGGATTAAAGGAACAAATAGGGCTTAATTCGACTGAAGGTGAATTGAGAGACTATTCATTTCGAAGGTTCTTGAGGTTTTCGATAGATTATATTGATTTGCTCCGTTTGTTTTGGGGATTATTAGTTAGTTTTAGTACCTATACTTACAATATCAAAGAAAGTAGAAAACAAAACTCCTAAATTATTTCTTATAAGGTATACTTTTTGTGAGTGTATAGCAGTGCAGAAGTTCTTGGATAAAATAACGACATTTAAGCAAAAAATTAACATCAGAATTCAAACTTTTGGAATAGGAACACCGGAACTTTTAGAACAGAATGTAAAATCCGCGCCACTACACAATGTCATGTCAATGGGCGAGCTTCATCATTAAGGACGTTGACCAGTTGAAGTTATCAACGGATGGGTTGATAACTTCAACTGGTCAACTGGTCAATGTCCCCAAAATTAACTAAACGTTAAACGAAGCAACCACAGCCGTATTGTATAACGCATTAGCTTACCGTTAAGGAGTTTGTTAATTAGAGTAATGATAAGTTAATTCATGTGTCTTAATAACAAACACAATGCCATTTTATATGAAATTCAAAAGTGAAGTAAAAATAAAATATAACAACAATAAGTCATTCAATAAATATTGCAAAATTATAACATGAATATTACTGTGATTTCAAGATATTAAGCACTGGAAATGAATGATTTGGTTTCGTGCATTTATTAAACAGATTCCTTTAAGAAGATATGTATGTAATGAATTCATCACATAATTTGATTTATATTTATGTAATAATTTAAGCGAACCCCATGACGATTATATCTGTGCTTAAATAAAATTTGATATGACAATTTAGATGCGAAAGCTGTAGCAATAGTAATAATAACCAACTTGATAAATCAATCCGTCGCCATTCAGCCTAAAACTAATTGAGAAAACTCTATTAGTACACGATACAATCCAAAGCTAAATCGATTAACTACTTAGCTATCTGCGGGCGAAAAAACTTAACCGACGATTCATGAAGGATTAATCTATCTATCTAACCTCATTCAGCGGCAGTCAATGTTATCAAACGCCGTATAGGCAGCCCCTTTGTGACCTCCCGAGCCCTTTTGTCTCTATTATGGCGGTTATCTTCAACGCAGTTGTACTGAATGTCGAGAGCTTAATCATAAAACATTTTGCAGTATTCAGTTTTCAACAGACGGTTCGTAATTAAAGATACGCTTACCTACACGAGATGTTCTATTTCGATTAGATTTAAGTTTTTTTTTAATGTTGTTATTTCGATTAGTTTAGACTCTCCGTGACAGATGGTTAAAGTCTTCTAACAGAAGCTTCGGAAACGGACCTTAAAAGGGAGGGGGGATCTTAATTCGACCGTTTGTTTTATTGAAGTGAAAACTTCTTTAGCGGCGTTGTACACTTTTTTTGTAATGGGTAAAAATTTTTAAACTCGCGTCAGGACGTAATCGAAAATTCGTAAGACGAAAACAATAAAATTGGAAAGGTTGTTGATTTTCAATATATTGGACGAAACATAGTGATATTTTATTTTATCGTATTATAATAATAAGTATCTATCGTATTATAATAATAAGTCCAGATGGCAGCTTTATTGCGAAGAAAATTCATTTTTTACAATAGATGTCACTAGGTGCGCTTAAATGTGATTCATGTAAGTTGATTTTTCTGAGAGATAAACCTTTTAATATAATATAAATTGTCATGTTTGTGTACAATTGCGCAATAAATAAATATTTTATTCTACCACATACCATTACCATTGCAAAATATCAAAAATGCACAACGTTTAATATTCAAGTTTTCACTTCTGTGTTAGTTTGTTACGCGATTTCTTAGTAAATTTAGGTTCTTAATAAAATCTTTTTGTAATACTCCTGACGTAGTCCAACTGTCATGCCGATCAGAGTTAGATCAGATTGAAGTGCTTGAGCACTTTAGAGATTGTTATGTTATATATCTTTATTGATATATGCAGTCGATGGCTGTGTACTATAGACGAAGAGAAGTCCCGTAGCGGGTTGTTATGTTGACACTTATAACCTGCGCAGACGAGGGAGTTTTATCCGCGGAGGATTTTTGTCCGCCGTAATACAATCGCTTACAACTGCATCGAGTAACGCACACGGCAGGCAAAATTGCTCCGCGGGAAAAAGTCCCCCGAACTACCGCGGACACCGAGGGACAAAAGTACGCGAGCGTCCGTGAAAAAAATTGAACATATGTGAAAAGAACTTTGTATGATATATCAAAAAAAGAGTATCACGACCGAAAGGACAATGTCGAAATATCTGTTAAAGGAATTCTTTAGCGTACATATATTTCATAATCAGAAATGCAAATAAAATAATCTTAACGGACTTATCAAATAATGAAGGGGGGTTGTCTAAGTCTGGAATTAAAAAGTCAAATTAAACGCACCTGGGCGTTTTTCCCCGCCCCCCACGACAACAGCTAACTAGAGCCGAGGTCCGAGTCTCAGAGACTCCCTCTAGTTGAACCGACCCCTTCAGGTTCGAGTTGTCTAGAGGCTCCCGACGGAAGGGAGACTCCCCCCGTGGGGATATGCCATCCACCTGGAATACCTCTCACTCGCCAATTCTCGGCTTGAGGTCCCCTAAAGAATCTCGCCGTCCCCAAAACCCGGTGACGCTGGTAAAGGTCATCTGCGACCAACAGCATACACACTCAAAATGGAGCCGGTGCCATGCATGCTGATAGATCTGAGTTACTATTTACTGCTTGAGTTGGTAAAGCACTAACACCAAAAGTTTATTTGACTTTAGATGTACTTTAGATATAAGTAAAGAATATGTATTATTTTCTACTTTTTAGTGGTTTTGTTGTCATTAAGTCGGTTTTTATTATTGTTTAAAATGTTTTTTTATAGCACAGTGTGACCTAAACCCGCACTTTACGCACGCTTTTCCGTGACCTACGTTGCCTATTTCTGCACGGTGTGTAAATGAATTGACCAACTTCACTCATGTAGAATTAGTACATTACGATACGCGTAACTTAACTTTACTATGCCAATCAAGGAATAAACGTTCATGGATACATTGAAATTCTATTTTGTTGTAATGATATTTGATTTTTTGCCCGCGTCCGGGGCAGGTTTATGTCACACTTGCTATAAAATAGTATACGATACTTGTGGCCTAAGTTGTCTATTACTGCACGGCGTGAAGTTAGCGCCCGAGCTATATAGCCGAATAGGCTACTTAGGTCACGCGTATCGTAATGTACTATTAGATATGTAGTGATTGGTTAACAACCAATTTATGTTGCTTCCTGAGTGAGAAGGAAAATCCGTCATGCCTTACTTACTCGTAAGTAGTAAGGCATGATGGATTTTCCTTCTCACTCAGGAAGCAGCATTGATTGTCATTTATTACTTATAAAGACGTAAGAAAATATCTTTATTTTACAAAACAACATAATTACAATTCGACGAAACGGAACGAACGGAAACGGAAACAAAACGGAGAGAACGGAACGACGACATGTTATATCGTCGTATAGTATTACATTTTCTATATACCTACGCACTACCAAATAAGTAACCAACATAAACTATTTAAATTAAGTATGTGCTTGCCAATATACCACAAATCCCTTCACGCCGTAGGTACCTACTATAATTAAATACTTTCAATAACTATTAACTGCTTATGTTTCTACTTTACTTGTACAAACTACTCTTAAATGCCCTACTTTGAACAGTAATGGTAGTAGATAAAGTAATTTTACGCATCTGCGTGTTATTTTGCGTTGATACTGCTTCGTGTTTTGGTGTTTTGGTAAGCGGCTACCATACCATGAAGACGATTGCGATACCAAAAATATCACTCGCGCCGTTGCCTACCCTGACCCAATCCCCTATCCATGGAAGAAAATATTCCATGGATAGGGGATTGCGTCAGGATGTTGTTGAGTAAGAACTTACCGACACCCGCATTATTTTGCGTTGATACTGCCTCGTGTTTTGGTGTTTTGG